CCCCAAAACCCCAAAACCCCAAAACCCCAAAACCCCAAATTTTTCACAAAAATTAAATTAAAAAGATGTTTCCCTTCAGCTTCCAGTTTTTGTCATTAGGAGCAATGGGAGCCCTGATCTTGGCTGATCCGAGTAATTCCCTCAAGATTTCATTGTGTCATTTTGGGTTTAATGTTGTACTGGCGATAGTATCTCTTGGAGCTCCACCCCAGATGGTAACTCTTATAGAAGGAAGTTTACCTTTTAAGACTTCTATACTGGGTGGAGTTTCATTTATGATGTTTCAGTATATCCCTAATGAAATACTTATCAGTTATGACTTGCTATTGGGCCTAATAGAGCCTCTCTATGCAATATTTGAGGTATGCCAACTTATTAACTTATCGTTTCTCATATCCAGGTGGATGAAAAGTAAGATGGATTATGAAAGAGAAGGGATTAACCTCCAGTTCACAGTCGTGCTAGCACTTTCGCTCTCTATCACAAGTATCCTCATGGCTATCTATCTGTTCGTTCAAAGCTTAACTGAAGCAGAGCTCAGCACGCTGAATATCTTAGCTATCTCGGCGTGAATTTTGATATCAGTCTTCATATGAGTAGTTTGAATTTTATCTGAACAAGAGGATTCCAATATCATGAATGGAGGCCTCTTCAGTATGTTTCTAGCTTACAACACAAGAGGAATTATTCGCAAAGGTAATCTAATCGCTTTAAAATCTACCATCCAGGAAGAGGCTCCTTCTTTGATTAGAAGTTTGTTATCCAAAGCCTATCTAGTCCAAAAAAGACTCTCAAATTATCTGTCAAGTTTCATCTTAGAAGGAAACTCTGGTTATAGCATTATCGGATTCTTTGAGTTTCATAAGAAAGACAACCTTATATCTCTGTTACTAGGAATCACCTTGATCTTAGCACTTCCATTCACTCAAAAGGAATGGTTTAGAGATGGCTCTAGTTTTGATGAGTCTGAAGAAGATTCAGACATCCCTAAGCCAACTGAGGTAGATTTAAGGTGGGAGGACAGGAAAGCCCAGTGCTTCTATTACCTTGTAAATGCAATCTTGGTGCTTATAACCACCAACTATGCATTCAAATCAATGGATTATAGCAGTTATAGTGAGAACTATTGGGTCTCATTCTTGAGTTCACTTTGAACCCCAATAGCTGGTATTGCTTATTTTTTGTATAAGCTGTCAGTAAGTCCTGATTGTGACTAATAAGTTGTAAATTTCAACAACCCGGCTGGGATCTGGGGTTTTGGGGTTTTGGGGTTTTGGGG